TGCCGCATCCGATCCTCGTTCCTGTGGAGTCCTCAACTCCATGACCAGCGCTGGAATCTGCCTTCCTATTTGTGGTCGATGTTCGAGCTGGCGAACTTACACTATGGCGTTTCGACATGGATGGTTGTGGCTGTTGCTGGCAGACACTACCCCGGCGCCGACAGTTGTCGAAGAAACAGTGCCGCCCACTCCAGCTGACTCACACGTGCATGATGTTTCTGATGGTGGTTCCGACCGTTTCATGTCATTCCACGCCGGTCAACACGTACCAGGTCATGTTGGGCAGGACCCTGCGCGGGCAGTTCGGGGTGCCTAGCCATTCGAAACCCGAGCAAAAACCGTTGGATTCATCAGTGTCGCATCCGATCCCCGTTCCTGTGGAGTCCTCAACTCCATGACCAGTGTTTGAACCTGCCTTCCTCTTTGTGGTCGATGTTCGGGCTGGCGTGCTCACACGATGGCGTTTCGATATGGATGGTTGTCGCTGTTGCTGGCAGGCACCACCCCGGCGCCGACAGTTGTCGAAGAAACAGTGCCGCCCACTCCAGCTGACTCACACGTGCATGATGTTTCTGATGGTGGTTCCGACCGTTTCATGTCATTCCACGCCGGTCAACACGTACCAGGTCATGTTGGGCAGGACCCTGCGCGGGCAGATCGGGGTGCCTAGCCATTCGAAACCCGAGCAAAAACCGTTGGATTCATCAATGTCGCATCGGATCCCCGTTCCTGTGGAGTCCTCAACTCCATAACCAGTGCTGGAATCTGCCTTCCTCTTTGTGGTCGATGCTCGAGCTGGCGAACTTACACTATGACGTTTCGATATGGATGTTTGTCGCTGTTGCTGGCAGACACTACCCCGGCGCCGACAGTTGTCGAAGAAACGGTACCGCCCACGCCGCTGTTCCGTTTTTCGTGCATTGTACAAATGGCGCTATTTCGTTTATATGTGCTGGTTCCTTTTGTTTTGTTCTTGCACCGATGGTGGGTGGCCTTCTCTTGTGTAGTTGTCCTCCGTGACGACAATAGGCATTCGAATCGGTCGGGCCCGTGTGGATGACAGCATCACTGGGCAGAGATCGGAAGCAACCGTATTTTCTTGCGAAAACACACCAGCAACAATAACCAAGACAAATAATTGTAGGGGCAAACATACATCAAGCCCCCGCACGAACACAAGTGGACGCAGAAGGAGGAAGGGCTAGAATTAATCCTTGTCATTTACATTGCTGTTTCCCGACCGAAGCAGCACGGGCACCCTGATACGTAATATTCCGATGAGGTTGGACGCACGTACGCACACGCCCAGACATGTGAAAGACGGAGCAAAACCTCTGAAACGTAAGGAGCCACCTCCACAATCAAACGTGCACAGCGCCGTACAACATACATTTAGAATTGAAAAAACGCATTTCAAGGCCAACACTACAGTCATCCCTCAGTGAAGGACACTCTTTGTGAGGACACTCCCCCGGTTAGGGATATAACCTGAATGAACGACGCAAGGAGGGGTATCAACCTTACGGACACTTCGCCGGCCGTAAGACACCTTTTTAACCGGAAAAACATGTGTGTCCTTTACCAACGGACGACTTGATACCTGAACTATTTACCATGAACGCTGCTGTAATGCATGCATTGAATACAAATCACGAAGAGGAAAGAACGGAAAGTTAGAAACACTGACCGAGACGGACCTGAGTTATCATGCCTGCGCGGCGTCTTGACCACGTACTGCAATAACATCGATAAATCTTCCTCACGACCAGACGGGACCAACAACCGTGCCAACCTCTGTCGAAAGACGGCTTCCTCTCTTCTCAAATACATTCGGAGTAGAATACAGACGATGCCTACCTGGAACAGTTTCCGGTGCCCCCGGCCGGGCATTCACCATGAGAGCGACGCCGAAGCGCTGGAAAACGAAACACCCTATCCAATCAAATCCATTCGACGGCCTCCCTTTTTTCCACCCACTGTTCAGGATGCAGGCCAAGTGCATGTACGAGCACACACACACCATCCTTCCCCATCAACACAGGCATACGGCACAACGAAAGGCAACAGGTACACTACGTAGACGCTGGCAGCCCGGTGGGTGGGCGCTCAGGACTCCCGTCTCTGCCCATGCATCATGCCGCGATGGCACAACACACCCCTCGAAGACAGATCAAGCGCCTTTAACTCCTCCTGCTGCATCAACCATGCCTCCTTTCCCGGTCACGCGCGCCGCCGGTCTTCTTTAACCCCCTCCGGTACCATTAGTACTTTCCCCGGTAATGATCATTGTTGCCTACATGCATGCTACCTAGCGTTGGGAGCGAACGAAACAATGCTGTCGACGCAGCGTTACTCGCATGCCGCCGCCATCGCCTTCACTCCAGTTTGGGTATCAGAGATGACCGAACCGGGTCCCTCGTCGACTTGGACACAAGCTTTCCGCCTGCACTACACGCCCGTGAGTGATTGTTTGATACAGTCAGGCGGAGAGACTTGCTGGCAACGAAGTAGCTCAAGGCTCGCCCTTACCCACGACGTTATGCAGAACGCGTGAAGCTCCGTGCGACATTGAGTAGCGGTGGATGCTGCCTCACTGGGTACGCTGTATGTATAAAGTGAGCAGCACCAACGGTCAAAAGCAGCAGCAGTACTCGACATTTATACGCCGACTTGTCAAGAAGTCCCAACAAACAAGAACGTCAGTTGCGACGCCAAACGTCGCCATCGGCGACGAACTCCGGTGAAGCCCGAAGACCATCAGGATCACCTCATAATTCGTCAGTTGATGAAAACTCCTTGGGCCTGCCATCGGTCAAACACGACGAAAGCAAGATCGAGAGTGAGTCGCTGTGTCTCCATGAAATCGACGACAACAGCGAGTTGGCGCTGAATACACGGGCACCTGTTAAAGTCGGCGGGCTTCACCGCGAGTGCGTTGCGCTGTTCACAGACCATGGACTCGGCCTTTCATCAGACGCTCCTTCCCGACACAGATGCTGATGGTCCAAGCGGGTGCCGTCTCCCCCGAGATTGGGATCAGCTCGATCGAGGTTTAACAACGCAGAATCCACCGCCAAACGCTCTTGTCGTGTGAGGTACTCTGGTCGCTCTCGCTTCGCAACACCAAAAGCCCCAAAATACAACAATGAGAAACGGCAATAAAAAAATATGACACCAACAACGAATGGCAACCATCACTCACGTCGCAGTGCGGCCACGCGAAGTTGTCGTACATGTACGGAAGTTGCATTCCCGCCGGGTGAAGCAGGTCGTACAGCTCCGCGTTTGTGTAGTACCCCTTCAGGGGACCCACACTTTCGCCCCCCGCCGACCCGACCACGTCAGGCTCCCCCTCGTGCTCTTCCAGGAACAGATCGTGGAAGGGCTGGACGTCGTCCGCGTTGTGGCCGACACAGGTGGAGTCCGATATCCAAGTCTCGTTGAAGACCGGGTCTTGTTCCAGGCGCGAGAGGTGCCAGAGCCTGATCCATTCATGGTCAAAAAGCGATGTTCCGCATTGGTTGAGATTTCGTGCCGTTTCGGCGGTTCCGGGCATGGCGGAGGCGCCGTACAACTCGGGGAGCGTGATCATTGGCCAAGAATTCGTTCCCCGCACGTGACAAGGCACTGTCAATTACCTACTCGAGGTAGATGGCCTCCAACTCCAGCATTTGATTGGGGGATAGCCTACAAGTATTGCGTGTGAAATGCGACCAGCGATGGGAGGGTGGAGCTAAATTCAAGTCAACATCACGAGTAACGCCAATCGGATGACTCCTTTTCGATTCGCAAGATCGTTCATTACATTTCTGGCAGTCTCCAACCAACAAGAACACAGCCTTCATGCGCGCGAAACGTTATCCCCAGGGTAAGCGAAACGCCTCCCGGAGGTCAGTCTTATCCAGTGAATCCGTTCTCGGTCTGGATTAATTGCACATCAGAACAACTATTCCTACGCTCACCTGTCGAAGGTAGGGTGGAGCACCCAGAAGGTCACCTGGACACATGATGGAAACGGAACAGGAGCACAGCGAAACGGTTGGCGCAACAGCAACAGCAACAACAACGAGGTTGGACTCTTGACCCCCGGACGGAGTTCAATGTGTTGTGGCAGACGGTTTCGTGGTGAAAGAAAAGGGCAACAAGTGGTTGACATGCTTGGTTGGGTCGGAGGATAACTTGATGTAAAACGAAAAGATTCGCACCACATTATGGTCGGGGATACACAAGATATGCACCACTGTTTCAGTGTTTAGCACGGTAAAGGACTGTGGCCTGTTGTTCCTTTCTCCTCCGTAGACTAGGCCCTCATTCGTGTTCTTACGATAGCAGAAGCGGTTCCTTTGTGGACACTCACGTCGTTGGTGCTCGTGGCTTCGAAATGGCTGCCGACTTTTGTCGGGATGCACAGCGCGTCTTTCAGCCCCTCGTAAATCGCCGTGGACTCCTCGGCGGAGTAGCCGGGAATCTCTTCGTAGTAGTGCCCCTGTTGAAAGCAAACAATGAGAAGAAATAACACCCAACGAACAAACATTTCAATATGCCGGTGACCACGGGAATCCACCGCATCAAGTTGGGTATCAGTACGGACAGAAGAAGGTGTTGGGCAGAGAGATGGGAACGGTTCTTAACGTGAAGACATCATACAGGCGGGAAAGCAGATCTGACTACAGTTAACATTTTTCCTCGACAGAACGAGGGGTCGGAAAAGCGTTAAGAAAAAGAGAAACAAAGATTGACAACCTGTGAAACACCTTGGCCGAATGTCAAACTGCAGTTTAAGGAATCGGCCGATCAAAACGCGACGATACAAACGCTCTGAACGAGTGCATAGACAGCGTCCCCACGCACCACTCTCTACGTCCTCTCGGCGCTACGAACTAAACAAAACAATGTGCGTGGAGCCAACATGTTGGGAGTACTCGCGCCTCATTTCTCACGGAGAAGTGCCGCACTTGTGTTTAGAACTATTTCGCCGGTGAGGTTTGCCTGGAGAAGAACGCTGTATTCGCGTAGAGCGTCGCCCGCATCGAAAAAAAGTGGACAACACGGCAAAGGGAAGACCCGAGACGTACATCCGAGTCAGCCAGCTTGCGGACTAATTGGTAGTCCGCATCGTAGAAGTATCCGGTCGCAATCACATCGCCCAACTCCAGGAACTTCATGACGGCACGGTGCCAGTTCAGGGTGGGAAGGAAAGGGAGAGGGGAGGATGGATGATCAAAATCGGTGGGGGGGTAGGGGCGTGACGCAAGGAGGTCAGAATTTGCATCTGGCATTCTCGGTTGGTATCGGGGAAGTGTTTTGTTGAAAGTTTTGTGGTTGCAATACCTTCTACACATTCCCAAACATTGTTAAGGGGATCAGCTTGGCCACAAAGAAAGAAAATTTGGGGGGTTGTTTGGGAATGTCCCGCGTTTCCCTGCGTTGTTTACGTTCGATGACAAACAGTACGACACTCGATGAAAAGTCACCTTTATTTTCCGTCCCATTTCTGTTTGCCGATATTTCGGTCTAGAGATCGGCTACAAGGTGCTGAAATATCTCCCTTCAATCAAATATCGAAACTCCAACAGCATTGAAATAAGCCACTCGAGTCGCGAAGTCGACAAGCAAAGCCGCTGGCTGTGGATGGTATGAAAACGCACATCATCACGCAGACAAAAAAGCAACACGCGACGCGGTACTGACCTCGGCCGCTGTCCTCCCTTCCATGAGTGACTCGCTGCATTGGCACTGGCAGTCTTTCCAACCCTGATCGAATGTGCAGCTCTCTGGGCACTCGATGGCGTTCTCCCGCCACATGATCTTCTGCGCGATCTGCCGCGCGTCGGAAAAGCATCAACAACAGAGCCCAGGGGGTGCACTCACCATCATCGTACATGCCGGTGGCCGTAAAACTTCGTAACAACGCAAAGCGAGGACGAAACTCATCGGCTGAAACGCAATACACTTAATATATGTAAGGGCGGAGCGTTCAGGAAATCGCATGAAAGGTGAACTCCATCCCTTTTCCTTCCACATGTTGGCAACCTTGAATGAGCAACTGTCTCGACCCCAGCTAAGGGTACATCAAAAGTGCCCGCGCGCAGTGTACCTGCGCATACGCACCACGTGTTTTCCTCTTTTCCGCGAATAACAACTTCACCCTCGCTTTCTTCCCTTCTCATCGCACTTGCCCCCGGTCATGCCACACCAACGCCGCTTTTGTATGCTCAACACATACCACCCCTCGTCACTACGCAGCGCAATACGTACATACACTTATGCACACACATTTATCTCCACAACATGGTTCCTGAATTACAGCCACGGCCGCAGCCGCTTTTGTTTCCTCTCACGTATGCGTGGTGAACGAAGGGGATTACGATGTACGGCGTGACCGCGGCGTACTCGTCCGCCTCGGGAGACCACGTCCCGCCCAACAGCCCGTGGATGTTACCGTGAGCGCCGCCATTGAAGGCTTCCGTGAGCTTCATCCTTAGAATGACCAGGACAGGGGGACCAAAAAAGGAGAAACAGTAGGGCACGCAAAACATCTGCGCAAAAAATGTAGTGATTCGACACCCACTGAGAGAGACCTGTGTCTCTTTAAACCCAACCCTTGACAGCAAAGAACCCGAAAGGAGGAGGGGGTGGAGGGAGGAAGACGGAGCGGGACACGTCCTACACATGCATGGATTACAACCAGACGGAAGCCGGTCGTCCCCCTTATGGCGCACCGCACTTATTATCACCAGCCTGCTCCCTGTTCACGCCTCCACGAGCTACAACCCTCTAAGAACCACTGCGTGAAAATCGTCTAGTTCTCATCTTGTTGTTTGGCTGGTGGAGAAAAGAATTTATCTCGAACATCGCCTCCCATACGAGCCAAACTTGCTCGGGTGCTTGATTCCGAAATTGTACAGTACATTCTTTTGCGGCGAGGAAGCTTGTGAATTGTAAAAGGAAAGTCACGCAGCACTCTCCTGCATCGGTGCCCCATCCTCACCCCCGATCGACCGTACGTTCCCAACGACGAAAATCGCANCGGTCGTTGTTCCACGCAGACCGAAGCAGTCCGTAGGAGTTGTACTGCGCGGAGTACTCGCGGGCGTCGGTCATGACGGGGACGTACGCGAACCTCCCCTGGGTCAGCGTTCTAGCAGTCTGTCGCCGCAGCGGGTTTGCATGGATGGATGGCGTTTCGGGAGATACGGAGGGTTACAGGGGTAATCGTTTGTTGCTTGCCTTCGGTCCATCGTACGCTGACCTCGCTTCGCTTTCGAGACGGGGTAACTGTTCGACAGGCGGGGCGGGGTGTTGTGCCCGCAGGTTGATTGTGTTGTTCTTCGTAATATCTCGGCAACGCATCTCGGCAGGCTTCCCTGATACGGCAAGACACACACACTTCCACGTGTCACCTGGAATTATGTTGAGGTGTACCGTTGTTGGGAAGGAGAGAGTCGAGACAGTGAAAGTGTTCCACATTACGAAATGCTTAACTGTCCTAGAGCGCGGCGGTCGGAACCAAGACACGCAGTGCTGTATTGTGCCTGTGAAAGAACTGCGGCTGTAGGAAAGTGCGAACATTAATCGATTGCCGCGGAAGCTGCTGCCGGTCTCACGTTTCCAGGAGCGGCATCGCCGAACCAATCGTCTGAGAAGACTGAGCTCGTGCGGAAGTCGTTCCAGTCGTAATAGGTTCCCTCGATCGTCACGTCCCAGTAGGGCAGCGCGATGGACGGGTTCACCGCCTGCAACGCCTGCTCGTACATGAGACTGATGGCGATGTGCGCGGTCACGAAGCCTGCGCCCTCGTGCCAGTGGTCGCAGTCCCGCGCTCCGCCTGTACCCGATTTCACGGGGGTCATTCCGGCGTAGTCATGGCCGTCGGTGGACGGAAGAATAGGGCGGGGAGGAAAATTAAATGTTGGTGCAAATCTTGTGGTCGAGTTGGACCTCGACGTACGGTGGGACGAC